TGTGGTGACTTTGAGCTCCACCCTTAGATTTGTCTTGTTCTTGTGGACTGGTCTTGTGACCATTGCTTGCTCTTGTTGTTTCTACAGGACTACCGTCACCTAGACTATGGGGGTGTGTCAAACTATAATTCTATAGTTTGTGTAGTTCTAGTCTAGGTGTTCTCCCTTGTGTTATTTTGTACTTGCACTAGGGTTAGGTTTTGCATATATCTTGTTTGTACTTTCTGTTTTAGTCATTCATTACATTGTAACATAAACCACCCTTAAACAGTAAACTACCACGTATTTGCATAAATGGGCCCCAATTACAATGCTCAACAATCTTAGTTTCAACATTATCTTATACGGACCGATGGCAGGTAAGACTGAAGTAGGAGTACATATCTCCTAGTATACAAAAGGCTATGGTCTACAGTACTCAGATCTCCTTACCCTACACGTGCAGGGCTGCCATTTGACTGCCATAGAAACTTGTCTATCCGTGAGACCAGGCCCTCAGATATCAGCGTAAAACACGCTGATTACGCTGATTTTGTAGCTCTGATTTCCGTTTTCCCTGGAAAATCAGTATAGTCCTCAATTTTGCACTGTTTTTTCAGTATTTGTAATCCTGCCACACTGACCCTTTTGCGTGTTTCAGAACAAGTAACACTGACGAATCAGTATACTTCAGCGAGTCACACTGAAACGGACTTGACCGCGGGGGGGGGGGGGGGGGGGGGGGGAGTTCGCGACGCGGATACAGACTGAACCTTCCCGTGATTGACGAAACCCCACCCCACCCATACACTTGGAATATTTTCACATGCCTTGTACTTACAGCTGTGCGCGCCGAACCATTTTGCCTCGGTGGAAGCCATCACACCAGAGTACGATGAACCTAGTTCACAACTGCCCAATGAGAACACAGACAACACACCACTTGTGGCAGGGTCCACGCCAACACGCCATAAAATATGGCAGTGGGGTGGGGGTGTTGTCATCTTGCCTGGAAGGACGGAAACCCAGGACCACGATCCCTCGCCATGGCGGCTCGGGAGAGGGCCCCCATCTGCTCCCTCATTATGTTCCTGCACTCGTCCTGCAGGAAGTGACGATCGAGCCCAAGCAGCAGTAGCTTCCCTCTCAAGCTCGGCACGCTCAGCACAGCTGAGCAGCCATGGCGGATCCAACGCCCGCAGGTGACAACCCCGAATCCGTCCCAGCCACGAAGCCAGCCGCCCTTACTGGCCTAGACTTCCTATGACGCGCTTCAGCTGCTCCCGCGTTAGTCTCGCCATCAGCTCCTACCGTTGTTTTCCCTTCCTCGGGCCCTGAGGCACCTACCATCTGGATGCAGGGAGAGTGTTCCACGCAAGCCGGCGCTGCCGCATCACCTCCTGTCGCTGCCGCATCACCTCCTGTCGCTGCCACATCACCTCAAGTCGCTGCCGCATCAACTCTTGCCGCTTCTGCATCAATTCCTGACGCTGCCGCATCAACTCCTGCCGCTCCCGAACCCACACGGAAGTGACGTCCTGTCGCTACCGGAACTACTCGCGTCGGCCCCCGTCTCAAAAGGGGTATCAAAGTGACGTACCGCCAAACAAAGATCCAGTGGGGTGTGAGTCAATCTACGCCAACGTCTGGTGCGGGGAACTCCTCCCCGAAGGCCCGACAGCGTAAACAGAAGGCGCCCGCGGTTGAGGTTACCTCCGAAACAGAACTGCCCGACATAGCCGAGGAGAAATACCAGGATGCCTTATTAATGTTCAACAAACAGTGGTCTGACGATTTTCCATGGCTTGTTTTGTGTCAGACGAGTGCAGGGTTTCCGTCAATGAAGTGCTCGGTCTGCATTGCGCACGGCGGTACGGGCACGAACTTCGGCGCCAAAGGAGAAGGGGCGACCGATGTGCAGACCCAGGCAATGCGGAAGCATCAGCGCACAAGGAAGCACCGCCGCGCACTGCGCAGACAGAGGACAGCCGAGGCGGCGCTCAAAGCTAACCGCCGGATTGACGACAATGCGAAGGTGAAAGACGTCGAGAAGGAGCGCCTGCTCTCGCTATTTGAGACGGCACTCTTCATCGCAAAGTCAGACGCCCCGATCGAGATGTACGTGGACCTCGTCCAACATCTATCGCAGCGTGGCACACCGGGCTTCCCAAAGAGCAGTTATGGTGCCTACTACACGACGTAAGTGATACTGCTCTAGTACATATCGGTGGCGGGTTGTGATATACATGAATCTTTCACTAACCACACGCGTTGAAATCCGTGCAGGTACGGATTCGAAGAGATCACCGCCGCAATAGCGACATACCTTCGTTCGCGCCAGAGGGACTTCATTGATTCGAGTCCATTCATTGGTCTGACGTGCGACGAGAGTACGGACCGCGTCAAAGGCAAGCACATGATTGTGTTTGTAACCTTTTTGCATGATCATGCCGTCACCACAGAGTTTCTGACTAACCTCTCCATCGAGAAGTGTGATGCAGCATCTCTTTATGCTAAGCTCACGGGATTCCTTGACAGTATCAGCCTGCCGCTGGAGAAGGTGGCGGGTATCAGCACCGATGGGGCACCTGTGATGATAGGCAACGACACGGGCCTCGTTGGGCGTCTTCGACTGGAGATACCGCACGTGGTGGCTTCTCACTGCATCGCACACAGGTAAACTGTTGCTGTGGTGGTGTTGTTGCGGTGTGAGATGTGCAACGTGGTATGTCGCAGTGCGAATTCTAACACCCCCACCTGTGCTGTTCTACCCGTGGCAGGGAAGCGCTTGCTGCAAAGGAGGCAGCTAAGGCACTACCCGAGCTTGGCATAATCGACGCGGTTATCCGCGCATGCGCATTGGCGGAAGATCTCGGCAGATCCAGCAACTACAACCGCAAATTCAAGGAGCTGCAGGAAGAGTTCACGCATACCAACCTCGAGGTCCAGGGGATCCATTCCGTCCGCTGGTTGAGTCGCGGCGATGCAATCGCACGCTTCGTCCGCGTTCTGCCTGCTGTCATCGTTATGCTCGAGGAGACGGACAAGGCGATGTACCACTTGGTGACGTCGTTCAAATTCCATTTCTTCCTGTTCTTCCTGGCAGATGTGCACACGGCACTCAACGCGCTCAACCTGCTATTCCAGAAGCGTCAGGTGAGTTGTTGAGTTACGTTGTTCAGTTCTCTTCTTCTCCCAGGTTCTTATCTTTTGTTTCGGTGTACCAATTCTCCCCCTACCAACAGGTTGGCCTCACTGCAGTGCACTCCCAGGTGAGGCGGACCATCATCTACATGGAGCAGAGGTACCTGAACTGTGGCCAGCAGTTTGGCGGTGGGACCAGCGAGCTGCTGTCTGCATTCCTCGCGCGGCACGCCTCTCCTGACTGCCGTGAAGTGACTGTGGAGGGTGTGGACAAGGAGGGTCAGCCCCGGGTACACAAGTTCCAGCTGCACGAGGAGGCAGTGAAGGGATACACCACCAGCAGCGGGGACATGCAAGGCTGCTACACCTGCTGCCGCTCATTCGCCCGCGAGCTGGTGTACAACCTCGAGCTGCGCTTGGGAGACCTGACGCGCTTGAACGGGGCGAAGCTCTTCATGCCCCGCTCGTGGCCGAGGGGCGTCGAGGCAAGAGACGCAGAGTGCAAGGAGCACCTGCACGGCCTTGTCCATCTGTTTCAGGCCAAGAACCGGGACACGATCTTGCCTGGTGAGTTAGAAACAGAACCGCACTGACCTGCGTGTATGCATTGCCGTTTCCGTGGTTGCGTTATTCCCATCCTGAGAGCTTGACGTTCTACCCAGTTGTGCTCTCCCGTTTGGCAGGTGTCCTGAAGCGTGCAGCACGAGGGGAGCTGCGCACGTTCCTGCCGGTGCTCTCCACTGCCCCCAAGGAAGAGCAGCCCTTTCACGCAGGTTTGAAGGCCATCTTGCAGACCAGCGACTGGCAGACGAGCTACCCCAACTTAGTCCGTCTGTGGGCTGCGGTCGCTGTTCTGCCGCTCAGCACAGTCGAGTGCGAGCGCGGGTTTTCCCGCCAGAATGTGATCAAGTCGTGGCGCCGGACGAGTCTTTGCAACGCCAAGCTGGGAGATTTGTTGGCGATGAGTCTGCTCGACTACAACATGGAGTGGGATAAGGTGGTGGACATCTGGCGGAGCACCAGGAAAAGGCGCCCCAGCAAGCGCAAGGAGCAAGCTGCGCCACAGATGGAGCGGGCCACGGCCAAGTTTGTTAAGCGGAGTGGCCGCCGGGTGGTGCAGGTGGAGGAGGAGGAGCTAGACGAGGGCATGTATGGTTCTGCAGGCGATGGCAGTGAGAGTGATGATGATGATGCCAGTAACAGCAGTGGTGATGATGCGAGCGTTTCTTCTTCTGATGATGACATGACATGAGCTAGTTAGTTAGTGGTAGATTCAGCCAGATCATGCCATTGGTGCTGTCTGTCACAATGGTGGTAACTTTGGTTGCATTGCATTGCATCCATCCATCCATGCACTGTTGCATCTGCACTGCTTTTTTGGTTTTTTTTACACTGCAGGTTCAGTTTACTAAGAATTTTTACACTGACAGTATCAGTATAAAGAAAACCACCAACGCTGATTTGGACACCTGGTTGGCAGGGGCACGCTGATCCATCAGCATACCCTCAAACCAATCTGAGGGCCTGCGTGAGACCCATCTATGGGGAGGGTCTTGTTGAATTGAATTCTGTGCTCAAAGCCGCGGCTTCCCCCGCAGCAGCATTACACAACACTACACAGCAGGAGGGCGCACAGGGGGATGGCGCACAGGCGTGGGGCGCACTTGGGAAGGGCGCTTAAAAGCAGGCATGTTAAAGCCTTTCTTCACACCACCCTCGTTCCCTGCCCCATTACCCTCGTGCCCTGCTGCCAGCATCAGCACATGCCAATAAAAGACACATTTGCCTTAGATTCGACACTATCATATATGGGGCAATGACATATGTTAAGGTGTATAAGCCTATAAGAGCTATAAGCCAACAATAACCAGATTTCCTTATCCTACACCTGCAGAGGTGCCGTTTGATTGCCATAGAAGCTTGTCTGTCCGTGAAACCCATCTATGGGGGAGGGTCTTGTTGAATTGACTCCTGTGTTGCGTAATGTCCTGCTCAAAGCCGCGGCTTCCCCCACATGTGATGGATCCAGCCAGGAACACGTGCGCATGCGCGCACAGCAGCTTGTCCAATATGGCAACAATGCCTGCATGTACGGAAGGGAGCGAGTGGGAGAACATAGAAAGGCGGGCGGCATAGCGGGTGGAAGGGAGAGTAGATGGCAAGAGAGGAATAAGAGGTGCGTGAGGGTTGAGATGGCATGGCACAGCGAGGGAAATCTCAGGCACTCAAATCTTGCAGCCCAGGCAGCCACTCCAGCAGCCAGCCAGCCACCCAAGCAGCCACCCTAGAACCCACCCACCAGACCAAAGTGCACTGACCGGGGTCGTAGCGGTTGACGGCGGGCATGAGCTCGTCCACCATCACTGTGCCCGCCACCTGCTCCCTCAGCCACCGCAGCTTCTCCCGTGGGGCCTCCAGCACCTTTTCCTGCCCTTGGAACATCCACGTGGTGTCTCCCCACGAGTCCGACCGCACCACGCTGCCCGCCTTGTCGTCAAACGGCACGTCGGCGGCGACGAAGACGGCGGAGATGTTGTGGCGGCGCTTCATGCCGTTGATCAGGTCGCGCGCCGCCTCCATGCACCCCGTCATCAGCTCCTCCAGCACACCCGCCTCCACCTTGAAGCCTCTTTGCACTAGCTTGTGCGCCTGCAGGGTAGGTGACGTGGGATTAGGAGACCAGTGAGGTGCGAATTTTTCGAGAGACAATTTGGTCATGCCAAAAAGCAAAATGTTATCAAATGGTGATCAGCGTCATGAGTTGCGTGCTGCCACCATCCAGCCGGCCATGTGAGCACGAGGCGGAAAGCAATGAACCCACGAGGCGGAAGGCGATGAACTCACGAGGTGGAAGGTGATGAACTCACGAGGTGGAAGGCGATGAACTCACGAGGTGGAAGGCGATGAACTCACGAGGTGGAAGGCGATGAACTCACGAGGTGGAAGGCGATGAACTCACGAGGTGGAAGGCAACTTCATTTTTTTTCAAGCGCTGCCACTATCCAGCCCGCCACAAACTCGCGAGTTGAAAGGCAATGAGCTCACCAGGTTGAAGGCAATGAACTCGGAGCGGTAGTGCACCGCAATGTACCGTGGGGGCAGGTGGCCCATGGCTTGATGCACCATGGCGTGCCACTCCTGGCTGTATGGAAGCATCTGGAAGGAGATGGCATCTGTGGGACGGTGGAAGTCCACTCGGTCGTATGTGGTCTTCACCCACACCAGCACGTCCCTGTTCTGCCTGCACAAGTGGGCAGAAGGAAAGGCAAATCGTTTGCTGAAAAGGGGGGTGCTGGAACAGTGGCACGCTGTGCAATGCTATGGTGTGCAGGATGGCATGCAGTGTGGGAGAATTTTAAAAAACACCCAGCTTGGCTTGCTTCACAGGAGACTCTGAAAGAAGACGTTCTAAGTCAAAGGCATTTAGCTTCCAGCAGACAATGAGTTTCCACCCATCATAGAAGCAGATATGTCATGAGACACACAGATTTGAACCCCTTTTAATACGACAGACCTATAGGATGCCTGGAAGGGCCATGCACTCATGATGCTCTATATCGGAAAGAGGACACAAAGAAGGCACTGAACATGGAATGACGCACCAGTTATACAACTGCTGGAGAACTGCGCTGCTGTTGGCCGGCAAGGTGACATCAACAGTGTTGCGTCTCGAGGGTGCGTGGCCCATGCCATACACCATCAGCTCACTCAGCATGTCCGCCAGAGGCCCTGCACACCACGGTGCAATACAGTGTTTTTTTTTTCCCTTGCAAAATGAATGTCAGATCATGGGTAGCTATGGAATAAAACAGTCGATGAATGAGAGTGAGAAGAGCATGACTACAAATTGCAACGACAATGGAAACATCTAGAGATGGAATTTAGTACTTGCTACATCTGCAGAAGGAACTTGGAACATGCTCCGGCTTCTGTGACTTGCCTTGAGTGAAGGACATTCGCCATATTTGGGAGGTCTGCAGATGCACGAAGGCCACGGAAGGGCCGGCTTTAGCTGCAGCAGCAGCAAAGGGGGGGGTGACAGCGGCTCTAGCAAGGTGCAGGAAGAATTCGGGCGAGATCCAGTGGGCATCGAGGCGAGAGAGGTCGAAGTAGGCGCAGAGGGGCAGGGCACGTGCGAGTGCGAGGCGGCTGCGACTGCCCTGCCATGAGCGCGATTTGGGGAGAGGGGTGAGAGAGGGCGGGAAACATAAGCAGAAGAAGTGGAAGACATCAGAGAGGGTGAAGAGGAATGTGCAGAATGGCACTTGGGAAACAAGTGGGTGGTACCTTAAGAAAGCAAGGGAGTGGCACCTTGGGAAGCAAAGGAGTGGCACCTTGGGAAGCAAGGGAGTGGCACCTTGGGAAGCAAGGGAGTGGCACCTTGGGAAGCAAGGGAGTGGCACCTTGGGAAGCATGGGAGTGGCACCTTGGGAAGCAAGGGAGTGGCACCTTGGGAAGCAAGGGAGTGGCACCTTGGGAAGCAAAGGAGTGGCACCTTGGGAAGCAAGGGAGTGGCACCTTGGGAAGCAAGGGAGTGGCACCTTGGGAAGCATGGGAGTGGCACCTTGGGAAGCAAGGGAGTGGTAGCTTGGGAAGCAAGGGAGTGGCACCTTGGGAAGCAAGGGAGTGGCACCTTGGGAAGCAAGGGAGTGGCACCTTGGGAAGCATGGGAGTGGCACCTTGGGAAGCAAGGGAGTGGCACCTTGGGAAGCAAGGGAGTGGCACCTTGGGAAGCATGGGAGTGGCACCTTGGGAAGCAAGGGATTGGCACCTTGGGAAGCAAGGGAGTGGCACCTTGGGAAGCAAAGGAGTGGCACCTTGGGAAGCAAGGGAGTGGCACCTTGGGAAGCAAGGGAGTGGCACCTTGGGAAGCATGGGAGTGGCACCTTGGGAAGCAAGGGAGTGGTAGCTTGGGAAGCAAAGGAGTGGCACCTTGGGAAGCAAGGGAGTGGCACCTTGGGAAGCAAGGGAGTGGCACCTTGGGAAGCATGGGAGTGGCACCTTGGGAAGCAAGGGAGTGGTAGCTTGGGAAGCAAAGGAGTGGCACCTTGGGAAGCAAAGGAGTGGCACCTTGGGAAGCAAGGGAGTGGCACCTTGGGAAGCAAGGGAGTGGCACCTTGGGAAGCATGGGAGTGGCACCTTGGGAAGCAAGGGAGTGGTAGCTTGGGAAGCAAAGGAGTGGCACCTTGGGAAGCAAAGGAGTGGCACCTTGGGAAGCAAGGGAGTGGCACCTTGGGAAGCAAGGGAGTGGCACCTTGGGAAGCAAGGGAGTGGCACCTTGGGAAGCAAGGGAGTGGCACCTTGGGAAGCAAGGGAGTGGCACCTTGGGAAGCATGGGAGTGGCACCTTGGGAAGCAAGGGAGTGGTAGCTTGGGAAGCAAAGGAGTGGCACCTTGGGAAGCAAAGGAGTGGCACCTTGGGAAGCAAGGGAGTGGCACCTTGGGCAGCAAAGGAGTGGCACCTTGGGAAGCAAAGGAGTGGCACCTTGGGAAGCAAGGGAGTGGCACCTTGGGCAGCAAGGGAGTGGCACCTTGGGAAGCAAGGGAGTGGCACCTTGGGCAGCAAGGGAGTGGCACCTTGGGAAGCAAGGGAGTGGCACCTTGGGCAGCAAGGGAGTGGCACCTTGGGAAGCAAGGGAGTGGTACCTTGGGCAGCAAGGGAGTGGCACCTTGGGAAGCAAGGGAGTGGCACCTTGGGAAGCAAGGGAGTAGCACCTTGGGCAGCAAGAGGATCACCTTGGGCAGCAAGAGGATCACCTTGGGCAGCAAGAGGATCACCTTGGGCAGCAAGAGGATCACCTTGGGCAGCAAGAGGATCACCTTGGGCAGCAAGAGGATCACCTTGGGCAGCAAGAGGATCACCTTGGGCAGCAAGAGGATCACCTTGGGCAGCAAGAGGATCACCTTGGGCAGCAAGAGGATCACCTTGGGCAGCAAGAGGATCACCTTGGGCAGCAAGAGGATCACCTTGGGCAGCAAGAGGATCACCTTGGGCAGCAAGAGGATCACCTTGGGCTGCAAGAGGATCACCTTGGGCAGCAAGAGGATCACCTTGGGCAGCAAGAGGATCACCTTGGGCAGCAAGAGGATCACCTTGGGCAGCAAGAGGATCACCTTGGGCAGCACGAGCGTGCGGTTGGTGGCTTGGGCGAAGCGAGCAGCCTCGACGAGGTGAGAGCGCGTATTGGAGAGCTGCTCCAAGGAGTAGGCGAACACCAGGAACCTGCGCCCTTTGGTGGACTGGGGTTGGAATGCAGGCAGTGGGAAATGGGGCAGGTGAAGGAGGGATTAGACTTCTCAGCAATGCTCGCGCCCTGGTGGACCTGGGGAGGTGAAATGGAGAGAGTGGGAGCGGAGAAGAGGGGAGGGAGGGAAGAGGGGCGCAAGGGAGTACTGAGAGCTGCTGATCTATGTGGAAACCCGGGCAGGTGAGCCGTGATGCATGTGTGGGATGGAAAAGGGGAAGGAGGGAACACAGAGATGCTTGTTGGAGTGGGCAACGTGAGGAAGCTTGCGTGTTCTCGTGGACTGAGGGCAGATAAGGAAGAGGCGGTTAAGACGAAAAATAGGGGAGGAGGGCAGGGGGAGGAAAAGGGGAGGAGGATAGGGAAGGACAAGGGGAGTACCATGACATCGGAGAAGGGCATGTGAGGCACAGGCCAGCACGCCTCAGGCCACGTGCCGCACTTTGCTGCTGCTGCTCCCTCCCCTCCTGCTCCTGCTTGCCCTGCTCTTGCTCCTGCCTCCGCTCCTGCTCCTGCCCCGGCCCCTGACCCTGCTTCTCCTATTGCCCCTGCCCCTGCTCCTGCTTCTCCAGCCGCTTCTTCTGCTGTCACTGCCGCCGTCCTGTCCTCGTCGCCCCCATTCCCCTTGTCGCTGCACTCGCCGCTCAGCCGGGCCTCTATCTCGCGCACCCCGCGGCACACAGCATCCACACCCGCTTCTATCCGCGCCAGCGACGTCACGTTCCGCTTCACCGCCCTCCCCACGTTCGCGCTCGTTGCTGCTCGCGCCATCGCCCCCCGCTGCCACCCCTCGGAGCACAGCAGCGCGGCGGAGTCTTCTGGGGCGGCGCCAGCAACACCGCCACCAGCAGCAGCAGCACCCCCATCAGCAGCAGCAGCAACCTTAGCGCCAGCAGCAGCACCAACCGCCGCACCAGCGGCAGAAGCAGGAGCAGGAGCGGCAGCAGCACCACCAACAGCCGCACCAGCAGCAGGAGCAGGAGCAGGAGCGGCAGCAGTAGCACTGCCAGGGCTGACAGAGTCAGCAGGAGCGTTCAGGGTTTCGTCAACGGTACTGGTGCCGTCATTGTCGCTGGTACTAGTGGTACTGCTGGGGCTATCGGCGGTATGGCGGCTATCAGGGGGACTAGCGGGGCTGTGAGCTTCCCGTGTGAGCTGAGCGTGCGGGCTCGGCAGCTCCGGCGGCACAGCAGCCTGGTAGTCCACCTCGGCCTCTCTCCACCCCGCTTCCGCCGCCCATTGCTGCAGCGCATTCCGCAGCTCCGCTCTGCACGCCGCCGCTGCGGCGAGCTCCTGCGGCGGAGTCAGCGCGGCGGGGCCGTCACCGTTGGGCGGGGAGGAGAGAGCGAGGGATTTTCTCATGGCCGTCACGCACGAGTCGGTCAGTTTCTCGAGAGGGAGACTAGAGGGGCGATAGCGGACTGCAGCGGTACTGTGGAAGGCGTAAGGAGCGTCGGGCGATGACGGTGCGATGAGTTGATGGTAACAGACTCCAATGAGGCACGAGAGCACGACCAGTAGCGCGAACGAGCGCAATATTCGACCTACGGAGCCACTGGTAGTAGCGCCGAGTCTCGCTGGGGATATAGAAGCCATAAATGAAACCCGGCTTGATTCCCGCGACACTCGTGCATCAGTCATAGCAAGTCTAGGTCATTCGCCACTGGCACTGTTAGCTTTCCTGCAGTCGTGCACGCGGAGAGTTCGCGCCCGGCGGTGGCCGGCAGGAAACGCTCGCTCGTCGAGGCTTGTAGTAGCTGTTGGTAGCCGGTTTTCTCGAGATTCTCGCAGCATCGTATAACTTCAGGCGCAGCGGGATGCCCTTCACCACTTGAAACCTCGCAGGCGTTCCACAGCAGATCAGCGATGTCAACATTCGGAAACATAGGGTACTCATTGGTAAGTGAATTCAATATAGCGAACTCGCTAATGGGTGATCTTGGTCCCAAGAAATGCAGTCCGTGCTGATGAGGAAAGTAGAGAGGAAGTCAGTGGGCGGTGGGCAGGGCAACACAGTGTGATACGTACCAATCAAGGGTGCGGGTTTTGGCCAAGTGATGATAACTTGGCTGTGCGAAGTGAAGGGAACTAGGGCATGTACACACCTCATTGCCACGTGGACCACAAGTGATGATGGGCTGAGCGAAGGACTAGGACTGGAAGCTCTACCACAAGCTGCAGCAGTTGCGTTATCGCGATGATATTAGAATGTGTCTTTTTGTATAAAAGTTCCTAAAAAAAGCTATATGTAAAGAATTTTATACTCAGGCACTCTATGCGCGTACAAGTAGTCCAGCTTTCTGAGTTCCAGGCCCGGTCCGATGACCTCGCCCTCCGAACGTCCCTCGCATCGCCTTCTGCTTTCCTAATCCCGAACCTGCACCCAACCATACGCGATCCCGCGACCTCAACCTACCTAGCATTCGCTATATCTGTACTTGGACTCATTACTCATATTGCGATCAGAAATTGATCGTAGCCAGGATCACCTCAGGAAGGTTCGCACACTACTGATTTTGGTGGTGGTGGGCCCTTGACCTCAATAGCAGAGTGAATGTTAATGCTTGATGTTATGAGTTGTAAAAGAGTGCGCAGGTAAACGAATAACGAGACTGTGATTTAATGATATGAGAATACAATGAAGGCACAGACTAATGTAGGGACTAGCCTAGCTAGGAGGTGTTGGAAACAAGTGATTTAAGCGCTTCTGTTGTGTCGGACTCGAAACACTAAGTCGTAAACGAAGCGAAGCACAACGAAGCTTCGGCGAGTCGACCATCGGAGGTTCAAGAAGAAAAGTAACTGCTGGAGGTTACGCGAAAGTCAAAGGTCAGCGACCCTTGACCTGACAAATACAGCGCGACAGCAAGGACAAACAACTGACTCGTTATTGAGCAGTTGCCCGAGTCGTCATTGTATCGAACCGCAACAGCAACAGTAAAACGGTTATTAGCTGTATCTCTTTATATTCCTTGTACTCCTATAAAAGCCTTGTATCTCCTTGTTTTAATTGATCGATCTTGCCCTCACATACTAGCGCAAGGTGGTTCAATACTTATCATTAAAACACGCTTCCGCAACCACAACATTCCTACTCAAAGTTTAGCCTTGCAAAAAACCTAAGGGCTTTTCTCAGCCCAACATGGTATGAGAGCTATCAGGGCAAACTCAACTGCTTCCAAACCCACAACATCAGAAGGCATGGCAATGCAGAAGGAGCGAAGCTCCTCTAACGGTTCTCCCGGCACTACTCCTACTCCACCTCCTGCCTCTGGCCTGCAGACAGAGGGAGGTACAGCAACAAGACCAGCAGCTGAATCTACTGAGACTCCCGCGAATCAAGCGACAGGCTTCGACCCAAGCATGATGGAGAAATTCTTCTCCTTCATGTCCATCAACAAACGGCACCTGCGCAGTCAAACATCAGCAACAACAACAACGACGTTACGCCCATGAGCCTCGAGGGTTCATCCTATGCGCGCGGAAACCAGCAGCAACACACCGTCGCTCCGTACGAGCCTCAACGCGGCTCGATCAGCTTCATGCCGCACCAGCAGCCTCAACCTGGACAGGAGAAAACATTGGATGCACTTCAGGTTCAATCACAGTTCGCGCACGTTTTGAAACTTAAGACATCAACACCTTTCGACGGGAAGGACTTCTATACCTGGTCATTCGAATTTGAGCTGATGATGGAAGGCGGGCAGATTCTCGGATTTTTCGACGGGTCCCTGCCATACCCAACACACGGAACGCAATACGACAAGCAGCAGTACACGTATCAGTCAATGATGGCATACACAATCCTGTTGAGGAACATAACTCCAAACCAGCAGCAGAACATCCGGTCTTATCGGGGATACGGCAACTCCGCCGAGCTCGCGTACAACCATTTGAAGAACCTCTATCAAGCAACAGACAGCGTCAATCAGAGTCGGTTAATGGCACAGTTGACAACAGTGGAAATGAAACCAGACGAAAAGGGGATGGCGTATATCAGCCGCTGTCGCGAATTGCGCGACAAACTCCTTCGATGCGGAGGATCGATATCTGAAGAAGCCTTCGTCACAGTCGTCATCTCTGGCCTTGGTCCTCAGTGGCGCTCCACCCGCGCCATACTCCGAGCTCACGGGAAGATCTCCGAAGCGGCACTCTGCGCCGAAATCCACGCCGAACAACAAGACATGGACATGCACGAGGAACAACACAAGAGAAAGACATCAGTACTAGATTTCGCATTCCACACCCAAAGGCGCTTCAACAACTCCAACCGACAGAATAAACAACAGCAGCAGCAGCACGTACCACCATTCTGTCATATCTGCAAGACGTCCGGACATCCCCGCACACACTGTCCAAGTCTGCGACAGTCAACGACAACAACGCAACCTGCACAAGGGACAAGAAACATCGTGAGCTGCATGGCGAGACTGTCAGACTCCTGCATCACTGAGTCACCACCGTAGTACTCACCAGAAGAACAACTTGACGAAAGCACTCCTCGCCGCGAGACACTGGAGCCGAATCCGACATACGCAGCCATCGCCCAGAGCGAGCCGTCCGGGAAAGACACTTGGTTTTTGGACAGCTGCCGCGGACAGCATATGTGTTCCTTAGGTCGCTTCGTTCAATGCAAACATCAACTTCAGCGCGAAGTCGTCATCACCGTCGCCAACAATCAGAACCTGCGCACACGACGACATGGCGTAGTTCAACTTCAGTCACGAGAGACCAACGTCATACAGCAAATGTTAAAAGTTTTAATAGCGGAGGGACTCGGCTACAACCTACTGAGTGTCAGTCAGTTGATGGCGAAAGGCATTCACCTCGAAGCAGACAGCACCACCCAGGAGTTCAAGTTGTATCACGGGAAAGGCGGACTTTACATCGGGAAGGCAGTGTTGAAGAACAACGTCTTCGTCCTCGACTTCGTTCCAGATCTCGGCACCGCCGACAGCGACGCCATCGTCAACTTCACTTCTTGGACACACCCACCTGATCTCGATCCCGGCTTCGGCCCCGGCGGTTTTTGGTACTCGAGCACGGTACCTGAGGCAGAACGAACACGAGCATTAGCAACAATTCAACAAGCAGCAGCAGAGACAACATCGGCAGCAGCAGAAACAACATCGGCAGCAGCAGAGACAACATCGGCAGCAGCAGAAACAACATCGGCAGCAGAAGAGACAACATCGGCAGCAGCAGAAACAACACCGATCACGACACCAATCGCGGGTCCTTCAACAGCACCAGCCCCAATCGACGACGATACTCCACCGACTCCTGCGCAGCAGTTGACTCCCACTCAACGAGAAGTCCATAGAAGCACCAACTTCACCGCCGGTTTTTACACCAACTCCGACTTGTACACGCGCTCACCCGGACATCGCGCTGGTGAAGACATCTGGCACGCACGAATGGGACACCCGAGTAACACGACGTTAAATAACACGATAAGACCAGGCGTACTCGACAAAGACTCCCTACTCCTACCCGACAGAAGAGAACTTCAACGAGTGCGAGGAACATGCCTCACCTGCCCTGAAGCCGACTTACCGCATCGGCCTTTCGTCCCTCACCACAACCCAAGTGCACCGGCATACGCACCTCTGGAGAAGGTTTACAGCGATATACTGTACAATTGCGAGCCCGGTCAAGGAGCGTACAACTACGTTATCACCTTCATCGACGCCGCCACACGATACGTCTGGCACCTTAACCTTCCGAGTCGTGACATGGCCTTCGAAGCCTTCGTCGCCTGGTTTCCAGTAGCAGAGCGAGAGTCAGGAGTGAAGCTGGAAAGTTTCCAGTCAGACGGGGGAGGAGAATACACATCACAGAGGTTCACTCAATACTTGGCAGAAAGAGGCATCAAGAGACTCCTCTCCCTTCCCTACGCTCATCAACAGCAAGGTGTGGCAGAAAGGATGAACATGACCCTCCAGAACACCGTGCGCAAACTGCTACGTGGCATGCGGCTACCCAACCACCAGTGGCCTGAGGCGATGGACCATGCTGTCCTACTGCACAACTTGCTCTCGTCATCATCGCTCCCGAACAACGCATCACCACATCTGCTGTGGACAAGGAAATTGGGCAACAAAAAAATGTTACGAGTGTTCGGCTGCATGGTACAGTAGCGACCCCCAGCTGCACGCGCCGGTCGATTCTCCCAACGCGCACAATGGGGACTACACCTGGGCATCGAAGAACATTACAACGCATGGAAGGTTTTCGACATCAACACAAAGGAAACAGTGGCAGCACGTGATGTCATCTTCTACGAACGTCTCACTCTTCCAACATACTTGTACAACCTGGAAACCTCACGGGATGTCACAGGCGGATTTCGTGGGTACCGAGCTCTCGCTTCGGCAGAAGATGAAGCTGACTTGGATGAGCAGACCATGGACGGAGCTTCGGAAGAAGCCGGACCTCTTCCCCTACTGCTCGGTGGACATCCCAATGGACGACGACAACCCTCGCGAGAGCATCAACGCAGAAGTCTTCTACGACTTCGCCGACACTGGTTACGTTACACCCGCCCGAGTCAACACCAACGAAGCCGAACGCATAGGACCCAATTTTTTACCCGA